TTTTATTATTGTGGTTATTGAAGGATAATTTTGAAGATTCTCATGTGAACCCTTTTACCGAAATTGAAAAATTTATTTGTAAGTTTTCATTATTACAATATATGTGTTGGGGTAGTAAGGGTGTCACAAGAACTAGAACTCGTAAGAAAATACCTGAAGATCTACATCCTTCATCAAGCATTGGTCGAGGTAAATGAGAGCGAATAATTTTGCTCTAAGCGTGGGATGAATGTTAGATATTGATCCCCAATCAATTCTTTCTTGTTTGTATTGTATGAAGAAGATTTTTTCAATTGATTTCATTATGTATTATTTTTATATTTCATATGATTCTTTATTTTTCTATTTGATATGGTCTAGTTGCGTATATCCCAAATTTCGTGATTAAATATATAATTGTGAAATTTGGATTGCTTGTGAATTCCTGTAAAAATCCTAAATAGTTATTGGGTAAGTAGTTAATCAATGCCTCTGAGAATGGAATGTTGATCTGAAGCTTCTTAGAAAGCTCCATGAAGCGTGCAAATTGCTTCTTTTTATCCTTCTTGCTTGGGGCTAGGGGATATGGCATATCCTTGGTACTAGACACCTTGGATTTCATCTTCAATTCTCTTGCTAGCTGGCTCTTTGATTTTTTAACAGCAACTTCCTCAGCCAACTCTTCTCCCTCTATGACATTCTCTTTTGCATTTTCTATTTTTTTTATTTTTTTTATTATTTTCTCCATCTCCCTCTCTCATTTCTACCTTTTTTTCTTGCTGCTCTTCCTCATCCTCCAACACACCCACTCTCTTACCACCTCTTGTTGTAATTGCACTAAAATTCTCCTTTGGATTAGTATGAGTATTGGCTGAAAAATTTCCACCAGAATTTTCAGCCAATTATCTGGCCAGCTGCCCCATTTGAATCTCCAAATTCTTTATAGATGCTTCAGTATTCTTGTGGTTAGAGATTGAGACCTGCATGAACTGGTTCACTGTTTCTTCTAATTTAGACTGTCTATCATACAAGTTGGGCCTTTGCATAGGAGGTCTACTAGATTGAGCAATATCATTCTGGTTCCACCCTGTGCTAGGGTGTGATTGCCAATTCTTCCCATAATTACCACCATAATATCCTCCTTGTCGAGCTTGATTCCCCATGTAACTCACCTCTTCTCCATGAGATGGGAAAGTATCAATGCACTGCCCGTGAGGATGATTCAACCCACAAAGATCACAACTTAGAACTTGATGCTGAGTGGATTGTAGCTGTGGAACCCGAGCAACTTGCTTGGTAAGAGCTTCAATGTGCTGGCACAAGAGCTTATTTTGAGCTAATAAAGCATCTTGAGATCACAACTCTAAAATACCTCTTTTCTGTCTTGACTCCCTTTTAGTTGGCAAATCATAATCATTTGCTGCCATAGCATCAATCAACTCTATAGCCTCCTCTGGTGTTTTAAAACGCATACTACCTCTAGTTGAGGCATCCAATAGAATTTTCATCGTGGCTGCAATCCACCCAGAAAAATATTAACCTGAGTAAGGTCATCAAATCCATGACTTGGACATCTCCTCAACAAGGATTTGTATCTCTCCCAACCTCGAAAAGAAGTTCATCTTGCTTCTGAGAGAATGTGACAATCTCACTCTTTGCTTGATTGATCTTAGCAAGAGGGAAGAATCTTGCCAAGAACTTTGTCTCTATGTCAGACCACCTGGTTAAGCTTTGATGTGGTAGAGCATTGAGCCACATCTTAGCTTTCCCAAGTAGTGAGAAAGGAAACAACTTCATTCGAATCACCTCTTCAGGAACTTGATGTATCTTCACTGTGCCACAAAGCTCAATAAAAGTATGAAGATGTAGATATGGGTCCTCATGATCAAGGCCCGTAAATTGATTGTTCTGAATCAGATTCAACAGTGCAGGCTTCATCTCAAAATTAGTAGCAGCAATTGCAGGAGTGGCAATGCTAGAAAAATGAGTAGTACCAGTGGCAGCTGCATGATCACCAAGAGTAATTCTTGGTCTTTCCTCTGCCATTTCAGCTTCCTCTAAGATTTCAGATACAAAAGGATTGAGAGAGGATGAAGTAGCCTCTCTATGTTGTGCCTGCTTGGCTAGTAACCTTTGCTTCCTTACTGCTCCCCTGTTCCTCCTAGCTGTTTTCTCAATTTCTGGGTCGTAAGCTAAATCACTAGCAGGAACAGTACCTCGCATAAACCAGAATCACAAAGCTACAACCAATAGTCAGCAACACAGATACAATGAATTAAACGAAAAAGAATATAGTAATTGCAAAATGTAAAAGAATAAATGAATCAAAGCCTAGATTAGTAATCCAAGTGACTTTTCCTAAGTATTGAGACGCAAGTCCCCGGCAACGGCGCCAGAAACTTGTTATCTTGTTTGGCAAGTGTACCAAATCATATAAGTAGTTCAATGAAAGTATGAGTATCGTCTCCCAAGGGACTTGCGCAACACTTTGTAATTTCACTTGTTATACTAACTAAGCTACCAAAAAGCGATAAGAGTTTGATTGCTGCAGTAAATAATGTAAACAAGCAATAACAATTCTTTTTGGTATTTTGGTAAACACTTAGAGTGCAAAACTTGATTCTAATGCAATATTAATAAATTGTTGGGGTTTGACTTCACTAAACCTTCCTCTCATGCTTATCACTAAGTTCAAAATAGTTATTATTCAGAATTTATCAATCACTCTCAAAAGTAACCAACCTTAATCTCTTACAAGTTGGCATCTAAGTTGCTAACTTAAACTATCAATCTCTTGCATAGTTTAACCAAACAACCAGCTTTAAAAACAAGAGCTTGAGAAAGACCAATGACATTTACTCTATCTCTAGCAATAAGCACCATTATCTGCTCTATTTCAAGTCAAAGGTTTAAAATCATTTCTCAATCTCTTAAAAACCTTAAGTTCAAGTTAAGGATGATCAAGCCATAACAAGCATTTTGCACAGAAAAATAACAATAAAACTGGATAACAATTTAGATTGATAGCTTAGAGTTTACACATGAGAATGAGTTTAGTTACATCAAACCCCAACAAGGGTGAGTTTAGCTACACATAGACATGTAGAACTCTACAAATGATGAAGAAAGGAAGAAGCTTGATCTTGAAGATTCCAGAGCTCTCCAGCCGTCACACACACTCCAAGAATGATCATTCTTTCTTCTTTTCTCGAAAATCCCACTTTTAGGTCATAAAAGCTTTTGTCTTATGTGCATAATGACATGTTAGCACAATCCACGCTAAGCATGAGAAGCCACGCTAAGCTTGAGGATAGGTCTGGAGTGAAATGAGGTTCTGGGACTTTCACGCTCAGCCTCAGTTCCACGCTCAGCGTGAGGATTGAATTTTTGTTCCAGGGACTCTCTGCCAAGCTGAGGCTAAGCCTGGATCTAGGGCTTAGCCTAGGGACTTAACCAAAAATTCCTTCAACTTGAAATTCACCACTTTGTGCTTGACTTCCTTCCTTCTTTCCTAGCTTTCTCCTAAACTACAAAACAACAACCAAATACTTGTAAGTTGCCTAAAAACATGATTCAAAAACAAAATGTGATCGCCTAACAATTTAGATATGTTTTGAGTTAAAAACAAGGTCTAAAGCAAGGAAAATTGATATAAGTGTTTCAAACTAGGCCATAAACTTAACGAAATCATAGCACTTATCATAAGGATAGTGACCAAATGTTGTATTGTAGCTAAGGATAAAGCACCTATCATTATCAAAATAGATGACTGCTTCAAGAAATTTTCATAAAAGTGGCAAAACTAATGGACTGAATATTTCAAAATTGCGATATGTTTTTCTCCGACTTCGATCGGCAACCCTTTTTAGTTAGTTTTTCTATTTTCTACAGTTACTTTTTTTTTTTCACTGTATGCTTCACTGCCTGACTTTTTTTTTTTGTATGCCTCTACCACAATTGCATATGTTTCTCCAAACACGTCACATTTTTCATTTTTTGGTGAATACTCCAACACATCACATTACTACCTCAGAATACACTATTAGACCAATGCCATGTGTCTTTTCTCCATTAACTTCGACACTTTATTACATATTTGTTTACTGAGAATGCATTTTGTTTCATCTCATTTTGTTTCTCTAGCATATTTATCCTTTCCTCTACTTGAGCTATATTCTTAGAACTGTATTATTACTCTTCTCCAAAAGTGCCTCTAAATTGTGGTGCTGGTGCATCACGTCCTTCTTCGGTATTTAAGCTCTACACTTTAAATTTTAACCAGATATTGACGACATTTCGTGTTAAGAAATGTATGTTATATTATGAAGAGAATGAATTATATAAAGAATTTAATATTATATTGAAATCTGTAAAATATTTATATGTAAAAGTTTCACATAAAAAGACTATTTTAAGTTAGAAGAAAATAATATAACATTCTTTGATACACATTGATCAAGACTACTTTGAATAAAGAAAAATTAGCACCTTAATATATATATTTTTTAATTTTTAAAATAGGAATAAACATAATTCAATGTGAAATTTGTCGTTACAGTATGTATATTGATGAAGAATAAATTATGCTCCCATGCATTGCTACAGAAAAATAATTACAAATCTAATGATAATTTAATGCTTCAACATCAATAGCAAACTTGATATTTTCTTGTATGCACACATGCATCAAAATTAATAGAAAGCATAAAATTTTTATACGGTAAATCTATAAGAAATTCAATGGTTCTTATACAGAAGGAAAGCCTTTTCCACATTTGAAGTTATGAAGAAAAAAACGTATTGAAAAGCCTTCTAGCTTGTATATGGTTTAAGCATTTTAATTTAGGAGGATAGCCTCTTATTCAGGAAGGTACCCTCCATTCAATGGTTTGGGCATTTTAATTCACATGCTCGTTTAAAAACTAGATGATAATACCAATAAATAAATAAAAGATAGATGCATTCAACGAATTGAAGCCAGGAATAATTTAATTTAAAAAAAAAAAAAAAAAAACTGTGTATGAATCCAATGTAAGTTGGCACTTGAAAACATAAGTGTTGTCTATGTATGATCTACATGTGCAATGAAACGCAGGGGACTCAACGTAATAGGTCGAAGAAAGTTATTCTCTATGAAGCAAAATTTCCGAATACATGTCATTCTTTTCGATTAACAATGGTAATACCCTATACAGGCTGCAATTCCAAACCAGTATGCTCAGTGTCATTAGCAGAAGAGGTTTCAGGATGTTCCTTTTCATCACTAGACTGCATCTCTTGAACGGGAGGAGCATCTACAATGGTTGTCTCTGAGAAAACATTGTCAGAGAGCCTTCCCTTCATCTCCCTGTGCTCTTGACACAAGGCACACCAGTGCATGCAGCAGTGTACACAACATGGATCACAAGGCGAGTTCTGCAGTCATCCAAACAATAAGTCAAAAAATATCTTAAAAGCAAAACAAGGTTAATGCTCTGGGTAAACCATAAAAGCTAAAGGAGAAAAAATTGTTAAAATATTACTTGTGTGCTCTGTTTAACTTATTTTGGATAAAAAAAAATTGATCTTTTTGTTTTGCCAACTTCACCAGCAATTTTGAGAGAACAAAAATAATTATTTGTCTGGAAAATCTTTTCCAAACATACACTACATGTTGCTAGGTAACACGAGTAAAAGAAATGCTTTCTTATACAGTATTTGATCACTCAATGAAATTATAAAGCAGCCATTTAAGCCTATGGCCCAATGGTGACCTAGAATTGAGCAAGGTTCTTGCCCCATGTTAAGGGTCAGAACCCAAATTTCTCCACCTTTTGAATCAAAATAACCTCTAGAAACGAATGGATGCCCCTGTTCTCACAAACTGTCGTGGATTATGAAATTGTCTACGAAGTTAGAGACTATCAAGGATTGTACTTTAAACAAATAGATAAATAAGGAAACTGTTAATGATACAAGACAAGAGTAAAGATGGGATGAAAAACAATGCAGTGTAGACAAAGGCACCAAAGCAACAAGGTGCCTGCCTCTGGCTAAGGTGAAACACATCTCTAGCATCTTATCGGTATTAGTGAAAAATCTCTGAAAAGCCCAGTCATCTAACTTGGTGAATGGGACAAAGAAAGTACAATGGCTGGAATGTTAAAAGAATAACTGTTGCCGGTATTTACAATTTTTAGCAGCAGCAAGCAGCATAGGATTTAGTAAATTGAACATCATAAACTTTTATTTATAATACAAATGAAATTTTTGAGTAGTTAATTTTACAGAAAATCAATGGAATTTTTTCAAATATATTTCTATTTTCTTATACTAGTCTTTTTTTCTTTCCAGGTTATAAGATGTCTTTTTCTATTGAGCATCATTTCTCAAACTGAGTGGTTGGTTACAAATTGTTGACATTTGACACCAGATTTGCTGAAAGTTCATATAACAATTCACCAAGAATAAGACTAGAATCATGTCCATACAGGCATTTATCATGTATTCATTGTTAGATTACAGACTATCAAGTACATCTATTGATCTATGTTTCTCTTTCAATTAAATTTGTTCAAAACATGCATGTACTGTTCCAGTAAAAAAAAGGTCTTATGTCAATTCAGGCAAGGCTTGGTAATAGAACAGACACCTACAGAAAGGAAATTGGTTTTAACATCTAATGAATTCTGCATTACACATCTGGAATAAGCAGAAGCAATATTTCTCAGCATGTGAATATTTGATATGTACTGTTCCATATTTAAAGTTTACTAGTCTGAGTGGAAAAGATATTCAACACATACCTTTAAGTGATACTTCTTCTGTAAGTTTTGCCGAACCTGACCAGTGTAAATGCCACACATCCACCAAGTAAAAAATAAGCCCTCAAAAATGAGAAAAGATGTCCCTGGGTCAATGACACCATTAAAGATTGCAGTTGCGGTTGCCAGAGCAATGCCACCCTCAACAAAAATGGCATGACAAATGCATGGTCCAGTCCAAGGAGTCTCTTCATGCAAGCTTTCTACATTACGCCCAAATAATACACAAGGACAAAACAGTCCTGTCAAACCTGCAATTAAGGTGAAATAGTATAAAACCAAGCAAATGAAACAATTTTCTGCATAATCATTGCCATTTAAATAATTCCTTCATATTCTAGTGCTCAGCAAGTTGTAGTTCACCAATAATTTAACATATTAAATATGAAGAGATTTTGATAGTAAGGATTAATGGTCAAAGGAATCATATGACATTAGATTATTTGTAGTCTCACTATCGACACAATTGACTGGTTCAAACTGTCCAATATAAATGAATAAATGATAGATAACAGCCTGACTCCAGCAAAATGTGACAGCTTGGTCATGCATTAACTTACAATTGTCCCTATCTTCAGCACATCCACAGATCCCAGTCATCCAAGGTTCATCAGAAGGAGGTGTATAGCTTTCAGGTAATGGCTGGCCACATTCCAAGCACTTGTGAACAGCCAACTGCAAAGGATTGAAACATTATCATTTTATTTTACTTCGCATTAATTCACTTTCAATCATATAAACGTCTGCATATTAATCATTAGAGTAAGAATTACTAAACTCTCAAATCCCTGAGGACGATACTTAAATACTACATCGAAACTTGGTCCGCTTGCCAAGTGAAGTGTTCCCAAAACTTCATCAATTAGCTTCGGATTTCACCGAATATTGGTGAGGAAACACTCTTCAAGAGGTGCTACTCCTTGGAAAAGATAATCTAGTTCAATCCTTACCACACTCTTGCTTGAAGAGGATAAAAGAATTGGATGAATACCAAAGAGGTTAGAGACTTTTGGAAGAGAGAATTTCTGAACAAATTTCAGAAATCACTCAAATATATCATCAAAAATGTTTACAAAGTCATAGATGAAGATTGCAATCAAAACGTTTCAATAAAAGGTGGATGAGTTATTGTTAGAGGCTTGAGATAGATATCAATATTTGTTAAGAAAGTCCCCGAGCAATGGTCTATACGAGCTCGACCAGATGTGCACCTTCCTAGGGGGATTATTGTCTAACACAAAGTTCATCATGGATGGCTCGTCTAAAGGTAACATTGATTACAAGGCACTGGATAAAGCTATAGTCATTATAGAGAGTATAGCCAACAGTCATAGTGGATCTCAAAGATTAAGGTTTGCACCATAGAAAGGAGTTTATGAGTTGGGACCCAGCGATACAATTCTTGTCCAAAATAAACTCCTAACCTAGTAGATTAAGATGCTTAATAAGACAATTGAGAGGCTTCCACAACAAATTCAGCAAATTCAATCCCACACACCTATGCCCACCTCTATTTATTATGTCAACTGTTGTGAAAATTATGGTGGCATGCATCTTCAGGGCCTATGTGGGTAGCAGTAGAAGAACACCAATAAGAGGCTAATTACATGAGAAATCAAGGGAAGTATGGCAACAACACCCTAGTCTTGGATGCTAGAACCAAAATAATGTTAGCTCCTCTAGTGTACCTCCTCTAGCACCTAAGTTGAGCTTGTATGATCGTCAAACAAAGATGAAGGGTACTCTTAACTAGTTCATATAGACCTCCACATCAAATCAAGTTCACACACAAAGGTTACAATCAAATACTTAGAAGTAAATACGGGACAACTTCCCACTTAGATAGCACTACAAGAAAAATCAGCATTATCTACGGAAAAAATCCGTAGATAATGATGAAAATCCGTAGATAACTGATAATTATCTACGGATTATCTACGGAAAAAAATCCGTAGATAATAAGGTCGTAGATAACATTATCTACGGAAAATTTTCCGTAGATAACGTTATCTACGGATTTTATCTACGGATATAAAATTTATCTACGGATGCGTTTATCTACGGAATTTATCTACGGATGCATTTATCTACGGAATTTATCTACGGATGCGTTTATTTACGGAAATTTCCGTAGATAACTTACCTACGGAAATTTTCGTAGATAACTTACCTACGGAAATTTCCGTAGATAACTTACCTACGGAAATTTCCGTAGATAACTTACCTACGGAAATTTCCGTAGATAACTTACCTACGGAAATTTCCGTAGATAACTTACCTACGGAAATTTCCGTAGATAACTTACCTAC